CTTTGTTTCAAGATCCTTTACTCAATACAAATCCATTAAAAAAAAAAAAAAAAAAAAGCTTAGGATCAGGACATCAGGTGAATATGGAAAAATACATATTTTGATACAGGTGTAAGTAAATACACACTTTCTCTTTGTTTCAAGATCCTTTACTCAATACAAATCCACTAAAACCAAATTCTTACATTGAATCTAAATTTAGGTGTGAAAACTGGGCTTTGTGCTACTTAGACCAGAGCTCAACACATCCTGTCAAATACCCAGTCAAGGAGAAACTGAGCCAGTGCTGAGACGCCTCAAAATAATCATTCTTTGTTCACCTAGAAACTGAACGACTTTGCACTCAGAGTCACAGCTCCCACAGTGGTGGAAGTACGCTCTGGACCCAGATAGCCATATTAGACTCTCAATCATTTATTTGTTAAAAATTTAACATGGTAAACGAAACCAAAGCAACCACTAACACCAACTGGGTAATTAAATCCCTGGCTGGAGGAAGTTTCAAAATCCAAACCCGACAGCAACATCTGGCAAGCATGCCACCAATACTTGCTCAGGTTACTCTGAAAATTCAGAAAGAAAGTATTAAGATTTTAAAAGCCTACTAATTAGTTTGTATCTGCTTAAATCACATAGAAGATCTAACACCAGATGCAAATATATCTTAGCTTTTGCCTCATCTCGGAACGGCAAAAGCTGACAAGAGTTACTGCAGACAATTAAATCTGTTCCTGTCCAGGGCTCTTGATCAATACCCTTTGCAACATAATCTAACACTGAAATTGCCTATCATAGCCCCTTGGATTAGGTGGTTTATTTCTGGACCCCAGCCCGTGCTGGGTTAGTAACTCTTTTCTCTATAATTTGCACATCTCTTGGAAGGGAGAGGGAGTCTCCCGGTTCAAACTGCATTTGTTTACCGCCCACGGCCCCCAATATTATGCATTCCCACCACCCAGTAGCATGCGCTTCCGGCACCCCCTGTACCTGCCAAGTTCCTCGCCGGTGTCGTAGTAATCATCCACGTTTTCCTGCCTGAACACAGTCATGATAAACTGTCACGCCTCACCAAAGCCCAGGCACTTCAGCTCCGCTTCCCACACCATCACCACCGCTCCTGCGCCTCCTTGGGCCCCTCATGCATCAGTCTCCAGTCCTTTAAAATAATAGCAACAATAACAGTAAAATGACAACCCGAAAAGGAAGGAGTCCTCCCCAGCTAAGAGCCTCTCGCCAAGGACCCCCTCTCCCCAGCTGCCCCCCCCCGCCGGGTGGAGAGGCGCACCCTTTGTTAAACCCGCGCCAGGGACGTCCCCAGCCCCGCATCGCCCGCGCGCGCGTGGAGCTGAGCACAACCGCACCCCAAGGTCCGCGTCCCCGAAAGCACCGCGCTCCGCGCGGATCAGAACCGGCTCCGGAAGTGACTGGCCTCCCCGCCTCCCCTTCCTCCACACACACGCCCACCCAGCTCCCCACCTCCGGGGGCGCCGCGGAAGAATGAAGCCCTCGCCCGGGCGGAACGCGCCTCGCTGGAAGCATCCCCCTCCAGCCTGCGGCGGCACGGCGACCCCGCGCCACCTCTCGGCTCCCGCACTCCCCGGCCAGCGCGGCCAGCGCGGCCACCCCCTCCCCTCCCCCGAGCCAGGCAGTCCCCAGAGGCACATTCCTGGCGACTCCCGCTCCGTTACCCGGCCGACCCGGCGTACGGCCGCCCGGGGGAGCAGGGGAGGAAAGGGAGCGGCCGAGGGAGGCGCGGCCGCCCGCTCCCGGTCTCCGCGCCCCGACACAAAGCGCCCGGCCCGGCCCGCGCCACCTGTTCCCACCCGGCCCGCGGGGCAGAGGGAGCCTCCTGGCTGCGACCCCACTTCTCACTTCTCCCCGCAGTCCAGCCGCCCCCGCCTCGGCCTTCCCGGCTGCCCTGGGCGCTGCCCGGGCAAACCCCGCCGCGCC